TCCAGGAAGTCATCCAGCTGGGGAGACAGGCCACACACTCACAAAATGGGGCCAAGTAGCATGGAATTAAAGATCAGAAATGGCGATACAGAGAGTAAAATCACTGGAAAACAATATAGGAGTGGGGCGGGGGAGTAAAGATGATGGTGACTCTGAGAAGCTGAAGGAATATTACAGGAAAGGGAGAGCTTGAGTCAGGCTTTACAATATATTGAGATTAGGAAGGTAGAGAAAAAGCATTCCGGGCACAAGGAGATTTTTGGGAGTGGAAAAGGAGCGTTCACATTTCAAAGACTGGTAGAACTTTTCTTCTAATGAAAAAGGTCATTTTGAAGAACAGAGGTAAGACTGACTCCTGAAGAACTCTGATCCCCTGACAGTGTAGTCTGCTCCAGAACATCTGATCAAAGAGATATGACACTGAAGTGAGCTAAAACTACCTAGTTGAAGGGAGAATGCCCAAGGACAGGATGGCCAGCTATAAACCAAGGTAAGAATCCAGTGGTGAGACAATGATCAGTCACAGTGGGAGAAGGCTTCTGCCTTCCTCATAATGAAAAAGAAGAGGGCTGATAATCCTGGTCTCCTACCTCATATCAGCCCAAAAGCTAGGGTTGAGCTTGAGGTCAAGTGGAGCTTTCAAGTAAAACCATCTTGTAAATAGTTCAGGGGTGGGGATATATCAAGACCATATTGGGATATATCGCAATAGAAAGTTGACTTCTCGATCCCTAGAATGACCACCAAGTCACTACACCAATTCTCTCCATTATGGTATAATATTAACCTCCTAGTCAAATGATTGACTTTTGGGATTCTACGTGAGGAACTGCTCTAATAGAAAGGGGTGACCAGAATGTATAAATAAAATAACTAACTAGTGACCTTCATGACCTAAAGGAAATAATTGCGATTTTCAAAGAGCTGAATATCCTAGAAGGCTATGGCTTATTGATGTATTTATTAATATGTGCAGATAGGATGACCTGTTGCTTTTTCAATATGAAAAAATACAACCCAGCCCCAGTATATATATACATAGACCTACATATATATATATACCTACATATGTCTCCAAATTCTAATTCTAGGCAGTTTCAAACTGTACACATTAACATTGGATTTTTTATTTAAAATACAATGTCACTGTTTCTGGTGGAGCCACACAATTCCCCCAGATAATCCTGTTACCAAAAAAAAAAAAAAAAAAAAAAACTCTTCAGAAAAAAATTACTTTATCTTCCAA